AAATCAAAAAAATTAGCCGGGCGTGGTAGCGCGTGCCTGTAGTTCCAGTTACTTGGAAGGCCGAAGCGGAAGGATCGCCGGAGCCCAGCAGGTCGAGGCTGCGGTGGCCGGGAGTGGCCACTGCACTCCAGTCTGGGTGACAGAGTGAGACTCCAACTCAAAAATAAAATAAAACAAATCCTATTTCTACAACAGGAATATAATAATGTTGGTAAAGCATGTGGTCTGCGATGTCAGGCAGAGTGTAATGTTGGTAAAGCATGTGGTCTGCGATGTCAGGCAGAGGTGTCACTTATTAGCAACATGACCTTGGACACATTAACAGATCTCTCTAAGCCTCAGTTTCAGCATCGGTGAAACTATAATAATAATAGATCCTGCACTACAGAGTTGGTATGATGTTGTGAGCAAATAAAAATCCAGTACTTAACACAGTGCCTGGGACAGAATGAGCACCCAATACATAGCATTTGGTATTATCATTTCTCTTAATCTTACTACTTCTCGTTCCGCAGAAGAGAGAATTTGAGGGGGTGCTCACATGTCTGAAGACATACCTAAAATTCCCCAACTTTAACTTGGTCATTACCCCCAGGTGGGTGTGGCAGGATGACATGCAGAGTATTAATTTATGTTGGAATAATAGTTCAGAAGTCTAACCCATGTGCTCTTTCTGGCCTTGCAGGTTCAGTGGCCAACCCTCCCTCAGCTGATAACCAGAAGCAAGTTCACAATCATTGTAAGGATAGTTCCCATGTTAACTTCTAGATGCCAAAGGTCATCAGCTGGGTATGGGAGAAGCAATGACACATCAACCCTCCTTCCCAGCCCCAATCGCTCTACAGCCCCGTGTTAGATAAAGATCTTCAAGCTGGAGGGAGAAAGGCATCTTTGGGGGAAAGTAAAAGGGTTAGAGGCAGTGTCTGGTCACACACTCTGCTCATCCTTCTCCCGTCATCATCATCACCTCCTCTGCCTCCTCTGATCCTGAATGAAATTAAATAAGAGACCAAAGGTGCAAGCTCCACTTCTCGTTTAGAACGTCTGAAGGATATAAGGTACAAGAGGGTGGAAGAAATGACAGTGCAATGGGTCCAGGCACTGAGGTGTCAAAGATGACTCCCTCCCCCCAGGCTCCCTCTGCTCTTAAGGGATCTGGGAGAGAATCCAAATAATTCCAGATAAGAGACGAAACTGGTGGGCTCAAAGGAAAAAGTCAGCATGCAAAAAGAGGGGACAGTATCGCAGGTGGACAGCACCCACCCCCACATCCGGGGTGGAGTGAACAGGGGAACTGGAAGCTCAGAGGTTCTCATGACTGAGAAGCTGCTGCGGGGAAGACTGAGTCAGCACTCAAGGACACAACATGCATGGCCAAGGCCTAGAGTGGGCATAGCAGGTTATTTCAGGAGCAGGTCACCAGCCTGGACAGGGACAAACGCGGAAAAAGCCACCCTCATATATCCCCAATGCTGTCTCTGAGGACTTGCACAAGCTCTTGCTTCTGATTGATTTCTGGGATAAAATGCAAGTGAAAAAACATAGGAGGGAGTTTGAAACCTCAATGTGGCTGTTTGCTATAGACCTGAACTTCATGGAGAAATCTATGAATTGGGTAAAGAAAATGTAGAATTCACTAGGACAAGTTGCCTACCATTTGGCAGCTAGTAAAGTGCTATAGAAATATTTAACATATGTGTTCATGGACTTAGGTCACTGTGGGCTTCTGCAGTGAATTTGTGCCCCAGGGACCCTGTCCTCAGGCAATGGGGTTCGCTTGAGGCATTCCTCCTGTCTCTCAATGTAAGCATTAATCGCCAGGAAGCATTGATTCGTTCCAGGAGCAAGTTAATCAACCAGTAAAGAAGTAAGCACATGCAAGTAACAAAAAAACCTGTTGGTGGTACTTACTTATGAGGAATATCACAAAAAACACCAATGCCAGGCTGACAATCAGCACTATTAGCAGCCCAAAAAAATACAAACTCCAGCTTCCATTTCCTGAGTTTGTGCCAAGGACTGGAATTTTCTCCTCTAGAGCTAATATGAAACAAACAAACGAAAAAAACAAAAACCAAGAACAAATACTCCTCAGCATACAACTTGTCAGCAGAGCTGTACAGTGCCCCACTGTTAGAAACATGAGTAATAAATCCACCCTTTCTCCCTCTGATAACTCTGGAAAAGGACTTACGTTTCAGGAATGTCTTTGGGATGAGAGCAGTTTGTGAATCATCTGCCTTCTATATGGGTATTTAAGGACTAAGCAGGGTTCATATTTCCCCTGAGATCTGTTTGGAAAGTTCTGCAAAGACTGTTAGCACTGAAGCAGCAGGACATGGATGTTTCTTTGGGGAGGGAATAAGGAAGTTAAAGGGTAAGGGTGATGGCGGATCCCTTGCCCTTTTCCCAAAGTAACCTGGGAGTAAAACACAGTTGGGTGTGGGTCTCCAATCCTGGGGGTGGGGTGGGGGTGGAAGACTAAACTGAAGGCTCTGGGATATGTTTCCAGAAACTTCTATGATGTGCTTACATCCATGTAAACAAAAGTGGCCCTGATATATTTGGTTTTTTATGCTAGCTTCAGGATGGATATGTTCTGAAAACTAAGTTCTTCAAAATGTTTTGTGTTGAATTGAGAAGGCAGCCATGTTTATACGACAGCTTGGTTCACTGAAACCATGATTTGTCTGCATTTTGTCACCATTTTATAAGGTTTTGTTGCCTACTAACATCCAGATTAAACTGAATAAGAAATAGCTAAAACCTGAGGTAGTAGAGATCACTGAATTACTTTCTATATGCTTTCCTATTTGAATTCTCCTACTCACTGTGCTCCTTGATTCTGGATAGGTGAGTGGCTTATGCCACCATTTTATAAAAACATCCTATGTCAAGACTTGGCGTGGTGGCTCACACCTATAATCCCAGCACTTTGGGAGGCCGAGGTGAGAGGATTGCCTGAATCCACAGGTTCGAGACCAGCCTGGGCAACTCGGCAAGACCTCAGCTCTACAATAAATCAAAAAATTAGGAGGGCATGGTGGCACACACCTGTAGTCCCAGCTACTTGGAAGGCTGAGGTGGAAGGATCACCTGAGCCCAGCAGGTCAAGGTTGCGGTGGCCATGAGTGTCCCACAGCTGGGGTGACAGAGTGAGATTCTGATTCAAAAAAAAAGAAAGAACATCCTATGTCACCCCCACAACAGCTTTTACTTCCTCATTAAAGCACAGCACAGGTTGACACCCAAGCCCCTACTTTTATTGAGACTGATTGTAATATAAAACAGGTGAAAATCTGAACTTATTAAAATAAAGAAAAAAGTAAGAACTCAGGAGTGATTCAGAAGGGGAATGATAGATATAAAATTGGGAGGATGAGTTTAGCATGCATATGAAACAAATGACAAGTGGGCAATTAGCATCTGTCTGTGTTTGAATGTCAGAGTTTAAGCCACAAAGGATGGGGCTCAGAATGATGTACTAGAACTCATTTATGATATTTAGGGGGACAAAATACACATTTAGTATTTAGCAGGTTTTCATTTTACTTCCTCCAACCCTCCTACCCGCCCCCCCCCCCCCCGGCTTTTTCTAACTCTTTAATTGGGCCATTTGTGACTTGTAAGTTGAAAATGAAGTTGGCTTTTTTGCCCAACAGAATTCTAATAATTTTTTTTAAACTGGACGAATGTGTGGAGCATCTTCTCAACAATCTGCTATAAAACAAGACCCCTATGGGAAAGTGGGCACCATCAGTGACCTAGCCTTGTCACTAGTAGACACAACAGCAGCTGAGAAAACACTAGCTCCCAGAAGACCAGCTCTGCAGTCTCCACCCCTATCCTGTGACAGAAACGCCACAGATCTCAGAATTTGTGAAGACACGAGCTCAAATCTTGAGCCGGGCTTGGTGGCTCAGCCTGTAATCCCAGAGCTTTGGGAGGCTGAGATGAGTGGATTGCCTGAGCCTCCAGGTTCGAGACCTGCCTGGGCAACTTGTTGAGACCTTATCTCTACATAAATCAAAAATGAGCCGGCGTGGTAGCACGCGCCTGTAGTTCCAGCTACTTGGAAGGCTGAGGCAGAAGGATCACTGGAGCCCAGCAGGTCGAGGCTGTGGTGGCCGGGAGTGGTCACTGCACTCCAGTCTGGGTGACAGAGTGAGACTCCAACTCAAAAAAAAAAAAAAATCTTGTTAGGTGCCAAGAAAGCCCATAATCCTGTCAAGTAGTCAGAGAACAAAAGGAAAAATTGCCTAACAATAAATGGCATCTCCAGTGCCAGGCTCTTGCTAATGCCCACTCTGCTCCCACCACACCCACACATCCACATCAACACTGGCTATTTTTAGGTAGCCTAGAAGCTAGGAAGGGCTGCCATGTATTCATGGGCACACATACGGAACAGATGCTGTGATCCTGTTGGACAGAGGTTTAGCTTGTTTAAGTCATTTATGGAATCCACAACATAAAGCTTTCCATCTTCATGCATATCACGAGAGTCAGTGTCTTGGGAAGAATGATTCATTTTCCCTGGAAAAAAACACTGATGTTAAAAACAAGAGGTTAAGTTAGTGAGCTCAACTTCATAAAATTCACAGCCAGCAGGAAACCAGACAGGCATATAAAGAACCACCCTCAAACACAGTTCTCAACTAAGGGTCTAGAAAAGCCTTTCTTATCCAGAAGAAAATATTTCCTTTTGTGGACAACTTTGTAATTATTCTTTTTGTTTTGTTTACCAGGAAGCTCAGAGTCAAGTATGTGTGGCCCAAGTATAAGAATTATACATGTTTATTCCAGGCATATCTGCAAATGTACTTTACTCCTCAGATTTTTCCATTCTGCCTGTATTTTCTCTGGACCTGGTTTTTATGTTGTAATTGATTTTCAAATTTTTCTCTTTTATTGCCCTGTTCATATTCTGGTGAAATGCCGCAAATCCTTTGTGCAAAAAGAATAGGTATAAATATAATAGAAAGACAAAATTAAGCTTGTGAGCTTTGGCCATAAAATTTTCTGAAAGAAGAAGAGAATATTACTGTGAAGCAGTCTAATTGTAATAAAAAGTTGTAAGTTTTATACTCTCCCTCAATGTGGCCCATGAGTTCTTATACTCAAGTGTCTCCTTCAGCCATTAGATGGCTGTGAATCCCCAACAAAAATCTTAGCAAACTTTTAAAATTTTTCCTATATTCTACTATCAGGAAGACAAAACATAAAACTGGGAGTGGGGGAGGATAAAATTCTTTTCTTTTTTTATTTTTTGAGTTGGAGTCTCACCCCATCGCCCAGGCTTAAGTGCAGTGACACACTCACAGCCACCCCAGCATCGACCCACTGGGCTCAGGCGATCCCTCTGTCTCAGTCTTCCAAGTAGCCGGAACTACAGTCACGTGCTACCACACCTGACTAATTTTTAGATTTATTGTAGAAATGGGGTCTCGAGAAGTATCTAGGCTGGTCTCGAACCCGTGGGCTCAGGCAATCCTCTCATCTCAGCCTCCCAAAGTACTGAGATTACAAGCGTGAGCCACAGCACCCAGCCAGGATAAAATTCTTTTGAAGGAAATTCTTGGGGTAAAAGTCTTTTTAAAAAGGTCCTCTTCTGGATCATTGTCATATTTATTTCTACTTCATGGGTAATGATAATAAATTGATATTATTAATCCTAAAAATTAAATTGAAATACCTATTAGTTTATCCTTAGTTAATAGAATATTTCTTTAACAATTTTAGTTAAAAAGTAATTACCAGGCTGGGCACAGTGGCTCTTGCCTATAATCCCGCACTTTGGGAGATCCAGGTGAGAGGTTTGCCTGAGACCACGGATTCAAAACCAGCTTGGCGAGACCTCATCTCAACAGTAAATAAAAAAATTATTCAGGTGTGGTGGCACATGCCTATTGTTCCAGCTACTTGGAAAGCTGAAGCAGAAGGATCACCTGCCCATCAGGTCAACGCTGTGGTGGCCGTGAGCATGCCACTGCCCTCCAGCCTGGGCCACAGAGTGAGACTCCAACTCAAAAAAAAAGTACTTAGCAAACTCAGATACTATAGAGAGGGATTCTGCTAGACTTCTGAGCCTCTAAGATATCTTCCATCTGGATTTGCCTTAAAGTGAGATCATTTATATAAGCACTTTAAAATTGAATGATATAATTTGGATATTTGTCCCCTCCAAATCTCCTGTTGAAATGTGATCCCCAGTGTTGGAGGTGGGGTCTAGTGAGTGGTGTTTGGGTCATGAGGTAGATCCTGCATGAATGACTTGGTGCCCCCACATCCCTTGATAATGAGTGAGTTCTCATTCTTTCCATTAACTCACGTGAGAGCTGGTTTTTGGTTTTTGTTTTTTTTTTTTTGAGTTGGAGTCTCACTCTGTCGCCCAACTGGAGTGCAGTGGCCACTCCCAGCCACCGCAGCCTCGACCTGCTGGGCTCCGGCGATCCTTCCGCCTCAGCCTTCCGAGTAGCCGGAATTACAGGCATGCGCTACCACCCCTGGCTGTTTTTGATTTATTGTAGAGATGAGGTCTCACTGCCCAGGTGGGTCTCGAACCCGCGAGCTCAGGCAATCCACTCACCTCAGCCTCCCAAAGCGCGGGATTACAGGCTGAGCCATCGAGCCCGGCAGAGAGCTGGTTTTAAAAGAGCCTAGCATCTCCCTTGCACTCTCTCTCTTGCATGGCTTCCCTTCCCCTCTGACATGATTGTAAGCTTCCTGAGGCCTCACCAGCTCTATGCTTCTTGTACAGTCAGCAGAACTGTGAGTTAAATAATCCTCTCTTCTTTATTACCTTTTTTTTTAAGTTGGAGTCTCACTCTGTCACCCAAACTGGAGTGCAGTGACACGCTCAAGGCCACCACAGACTTGACCTGGGAGACTCAGGTGATCTTTCCACTTCAGCCTTCCAAGTAGCTGGAACTACAGGCCTGCTCCATCATGCCCAGCTATTTTTTTTATTTATTGTAGAGCCAAGGTCTCGCCAAGTTGTCCAGGCTGGTCTCGAACCCATGGGCTCAGACAATCCTCTCACCTCGGCCTCCCAAAGTGCTAGGATTATAGGTGTGAGACACCGCTCCTGGCTTTCTTTATGAATTACCCAGTCTCAGGTATTCCTTTTGTAGCAACACAAAATAGTCTACTACATTGAGGTTCACATTAAAGGTAATACTCACTAATGACAGCACAACTTCAAGCAGCACTAAAAATCCTAAAGAGATTAAAAAAAAGTTCTGGCCGGGCTCGGTGGCTCAGCCTGTAATCCCAGCACTTTGGGGGGATAAGACAAGTGGATAGCCTGAGCCTGTGGTTTCGAAACCAGCCCTGGCAGTTTGGCAAGACCTCGTCTCTACAATAAATCAAAAATTAGCCAGGCGTGGTAGCGCATGCCAGTTACTTGGAAGCCTGAAGTGGAAGGATCGCTGGAGCCCAGCAGGTCGACGCTGGGGTGGCCATGAGCATGTCACTGCACTCTGGCCTGGGTGACAGAGTAAGACTCCAATTCAAAAAAAAGTTCTACATGAACATATCTCTCTAGCACAACAGGAAACTTGTGGCCATTTAATTATGTGAAAAGAAGGCCCTAGAAAGACAAATTCCAAATACTAAAAAAGCTTTCTCTTTCATGGCTATCTCCTTTCATGAAGAGTCTAATATTTGATCTGGAAAGTATGTTAAACATGCTCTGGTCTAGCCCTCATCCTTTCCACAAATGAGGACATTCAAGGTCAGAGAGGTAAATGTCCGAGATTACACATTTAAACTCATAGCAGAGCTGGAATCAGGCCTTTTATTCCACATTCATTGAGTTTTCCCTTGGGCTACTTTTGTTTTCCGCACACCTTCCTAATCTTCTCTTAAAATTTAGCTCAAACATCACCTCCCCTACGAGGAGAGAACCAACCTGACTTTGTGTCTTTGCTGGATCCTGTGCTTTCTTCTATAGTATTTTAGTGCGTTTAGTTGCTAGCGTCTTTGACTTCTCCAGTGGACTGAAAAAAAAAAATTCCTTACAGTAGGTACCAACTCTAGTCTTCAACTGCCCAGTGCCAGGTTTAGTAGCCGGTAACTTTTAAGTTGAAATACCTAGGATATTTATTTAGGATTTAAATCCTCAAACCTCATTCTTTTCAAAAGAACTGGAAGCAGTTAATAATAAGCATACTAACAGAAATAAGATTGAGAGTAAAAATCCTCATGTGATGTTTATCTGGACTCCAGTAAAGTCAATGCAATGATTATTGTGTCTGCCTACATGTGGCAACACATTATTTACTTACTGTTACCATTTTAAAAATTTTTTCTTTAATAACCAGCTACAGAATGAAGAGAAATATAGTTAAGAGCAAGCAAATTCAGAATAAAAAAAGGTATATACCTATAAAAAATCAGCCATTTACTAAACAGTTTAAACTGCACTCTCAAATATCAAAACTAGTAATTTCCCAGTAATACCTGAAAGTTATCGGTACTTATGAAAAATGTGTTCCCAGCGCTCTAGCTAAGAAAAACAGTGATCTCAAAAAGTCATAGACTAATTTAAATTTTTTTCAGAGTTAAAATTAAAAAGTGTGTTTCAGTTATCCTGGAATTTTAATTTTAACTCTGAAATTTTAGAACAAGATAAGACTACAGCACTTTAGATATTGATATTACTAACTTCCAAATATACCACACAGAGCATTCCTTAGAAAATGACTTGTTATGACAATTAAAAAATAAAAGCAGCAGAGAAAAGGAACCTTAGAAATCAATCAGATTATATCCTTTTGTAGATAAAACCAAGACCCCAAAGTATTGACTGATGCATGATCACAGACTTTAAAACAATTATCCTAGAAGTCTTTTCTATTTTGTCATCTTTTTATACTCTTTGGCCAAACACTATTATTTGTCCAGGAATAAAAGTTATGTGTGCCACATCATAGGACCAGTGTTTCAAACACAGCTTCTATTTTAGGCATGGTGACTGACACATGGTTCATTTTTGAACTCTGACTTAATATCCTTGAGTCTTAATTTCCCCTTCAGGAGTGTGACTGCTGTTGCCTAGATCCCATACTGAGGCTTAATCAATATTTACAAAGTAGAGAACTAGCTAAAAAATCTTAACCACTTTATGAGTACAGCTAATAAAATCTCCAAAGTACTGACCTTGCTATCTTTTCAAAAGGTAACTCCAAAAAACTAAGACAACAACCTAGAGTTAGATATGAAGTGCTGAGACTATCTTCTTTAGAGTGAGTGAAATCACAATGTAAATATATCTATTTCAACATATTTTTAAATGAACCGTAACATGCAAATGGAAAAATAAAGAACTAGCAGAGAAAATTGAATTGGTTGTTGTTCAGGGCCTCCAGGAGCCTGCAAATGACTTGCAAATGACTCATAAGTCTACTAGTAAATGGATACAACATCACATGGCCCTGAAACCAGGATCCACAGCTGTTTGACACCCAGTGATTGCTATCTTTGGCATCTCCAAATGAGGGCATCTGGGAACAACCAACAAGGCTGGAGAAGCCAGTGTTACCAGCAATTCTGCATCACACGGCTCAACTTTCTTCCCAGCCCCTGTGTGTTTATTTGCTTAATTACCAAGATTGGTTAACAGCATCCCTTTAACAAAACCCTTTCTAATACCTTGAGCTGAAAAATGTAAGTAATTTCATTTTTCTCTACTAACAGCTGATTCTTTTTGTCAGTTAAAAATCATTTGACTACTTACAAATAAATATTCTGACAAAGATAGTTGTCTATGAAAAACTGTTTTGTGCTTTATTTTCTTCCCACAGGTGCTTGGTATCAAACCATAGAAATATAACTCACACCAGTATTGCTTGCCACAAAAATCAGAATTATCCTAATAGGGCTTAATTCAAAGCTAATAAGAAGCTTTATTGAGTGAGTCATGGTAATTTGTTCTTTAATTCCATTTCCGAGTCAATGCCTCTTCATATTCAGGAAGTAATTTTTAAAATCAAGTCTAAATCATTTCTATCCAGAGTGAAAAGCACAGAGCACATGCAACAAAAACTTCCCAGACTCAAGAATCATAATTCAGTCTCAATAGAGTAAGAGCATGCAAATTACTTACAAAAATGTGAGCTTTGACTGCTAGGTTATCAGGAAAAAAACCTAATTATTCAGGAGCCACTGCACAACTTCCTACAAATACTGTAGTTCTTTCTTTACTGCTGTGAGACTCATAAACCTCAGCATGAAACTGTTGGTCTATATTTAGTGTTAATTTAGCCAAGCAGTGTAAGCTTCTAAACATTGAAATTTTTCATAATGTCTAAGGTTTTTAATAAATTTATTACTAAAACTATGCTTTTAAAAGAAAACAACAAAGCATTATGCCCTGATTTAGTTGGTCACTGACGAGGTTCTTACTGGACTGAAGTTAATGTCCTTATTTGGCAGAAACAACTGTGTAAACCAACACACTTCTAGCACTTCTGGCGTGGTGTGCTCCCATATATAAACATGCTGTAGCAGGCCGGGGCTGCCACTGTGACAACTGACTTTCAAGGATTCCAGACCAAGCAGAGAACTGCAATAACCAGAGACAGAAGATGGTGTGACATATCTAGGATGATGGCAAGTCAGACTTCTAGGGCTTCCAGTAGCCATAAAAAGTGAGTGTGAGTGGGAGATTTCATGGTGACCACCCCACTGCTGGTGAAGGAAGCATTTCATCTCATCAACGTCCTTTTCCTTGACAAAGGCTTTATTCTGTGAGTTTTGCACAACCTTCTTTTTCGGGAGTGTCAGCCTTTCACTTGTGTGGTTCCCTCACATACATGCTAAGGAGCTTCTGCCCTCTGGTGTACATAAAAGATGCTACAGAGACAGGGAGATCTGCGACCCCACTAGCCCTGGATCCCAGATCCCAGGGCGTAATTATCCCAGCAGTATTCCTTTGGCTAGGCTGTAAACAGATATGCAGTCCTTCATAATCCCACCTTCTACTGCCATGACTACATGGGCCTTATTCATTCTTGAAACATCTTTCATGAGAGTTAGAAAATGTGTGCTCCACAAAATTCTGTTTACACCTATATTCCATAGGGACCTCACTCTGCTTTTGAGAAAAGGGAATGCCATTTTCTTAAGCCTCATCTGTACTCAAGGACCAGTTCTTGGAGGAAGACAAAAAACTAGTAACTGTTTTCTCAGAAATGTATTATACATTAAAAAGCTAGGCCAAATTTCTCTGACAAATGAAAATGTTTTTTCAAATGAAAGTGCTATTATCATGCTCAGTACACACACACACACACACACACACACACACACACACTTCCTGATCTATCTTAAACCATCTGTCCTTTGAAGAAATAATTGAAGTAATCCCCTCATTTTTGAGCGTTTACTGTTTTTCATCTCTCCTGTAACTTTAAACCCTGTGAAATAGTAACCGCCCTCAGGCATAAAGAAAATGGAAACGAAGGAGTTTAATTGTTGAAGGACATACTGATTATAAGTGGCAGGGATGAGATTTAAACCCAAGTCTCACATCAAAGTCTGAATTCAGCTATACTTTACACCAGTGAGGGGATGAAACTGGCTTTGGGGCCAGTTAGACTTCTGTCGCCCAGGCTGAAGGGTTGTGGCATCTTCATGGCTCACTCACTGCAGCCTTCATCTCCTGGGCTCAGGTGATTCCCCCCACCCCCACCCTCAGCATCCCAAGTAGCCAGGACTACAGGCATGCACCACCACACCCAGCTACTTTTTTGTAGTGATGTGGCCTCACTACGTTGCCTAGGTTGGCCTGGAACTCCTGGGCTCAAGCCATCCAACCACCTCAGGCTACCAAGGTTCTGGGATTACAGGTGTGAGGCACCATGTCCAGCTGTTTTTGTTTTTTAAATATTGTATCTCAGAATATTTAGATTCACTCCCCCAAAATTCAACAAATACAATCCAAGACTTGAGTCACAGATGTTGAATGCTCCAAAATGAATGCTTGAGCCTCAAAATAAACTGAGCAGGAACCCTCAAATTTCTTCAAACCAGCAAGATTAACCAAGAATCGAGCAGTGAACAACTGACCTATATCACACAGCATTTAACTACTTTCAAGAAATCTCAAGCATTCCTATACATTGAATCTCCAGTAATCCTTGTCCAGCAATTATCCATTAATTGCATGAATAGCAAGTTTTTCATGTATAAATTCGAAAAAGTTCAACAAATGTATTGAACATGAGAAAGAGAGAAGAGTGGTATATGCCTTAGCAGGACTAGCACTGATAAGCAAGCTGACCGACCCTGTAGAATTCAGGCAGGCCTAGGATTTGGAGGTAAGAGTGAAACGTGGAGCTATATACAGGCAGGTAATGATGTTAGCCAAAAGTAAAATGCTACAGTAAGACTGGAGAATTGCACTAGAAAATATCCCAGAAAGAAAAACATGAATGATGATAATAAATAAAAAGACCTAAGCCTCAATTTAGAAGCTCCACTCCCTAACAAAGTTACAGAACAAAGAAAATGGGGGGAAGGGAGGAGAGGGAGGAGGGAGACATTAAGAACTCAAGGTTGCTTTGCAGATTGCCAAGCCCACTAAAACTCTGTATTATACAATTTTAGAACATTAGAGACAGAGATTCTGAGAAAACCAAACATCCCATCAGATGTCTCAAGATTTTACTCATTAGAATAGAGATGCTTTCAAATAATTTAAATACAATTGTCAATTAGATTTTTCAAAAATTCCAAATTTGATTTTCTACCTGGAATTTCATATACCAGGCAAATTATTTTTCAGAAATATTAAGTTTCAAAATAACTGACCTCTCATGCACCCATTCCCAAGAAAGTACTGAAGGAAGGTAAACTAATGAAGACCGGGGTCCAGAAAATGTGGGATCCAACTCAAGATGAAGGAAAACAAGTTCCCCACATGATAATGTTGTCTCAGGAAAGCAGCTATACACTTGAATGAAGTAGACTAAAACAAGTACAGCATCAAGAAAAGCTTTACACATCTGGGGCTGTTTGGGAAGAACTAGCGATGTGCACAGAAAGTCAATGAGACAACTCCAAGACAAAATGTTGTATGGGAATGAAAATGTAAGCACAGTAAACTATTTAGTTCAGTAGTGAACACACATATAGCATCACAACAAGGCAAATAACGATGACTTAACCAAAAACATATGGAAAACAAGGGCAGAAATCTCCTGTCCTAATAGGAAGTTGACAAATGTCTAAAAACCAGAGAAAGAACCGTATAAAGCATATTAATTAGAAATTTCAAAGAAGAAACACCGAAGGCTGAATGCCTCCTGGGATGGAACTGAGGAACAGCAAAGGATGGAGTGAGGGTTTTTTTTATGAGCCTTGAAGGAAGGTTATTAAACCATGTTTATATAACATTTTAATAAAATCCATTTTTATTTAAAATTATGTATACATAAATGAAATTGAAATGTAGGGGGAAACACTCTTTACAATCCCATTCCCACAGCTCTACCTTACTTGGAATACATGTGGCAACACACAAATCCAGGATCTACACACATCACAGCCTGTTTTCCACTGTCCTGGTACCGAGGCATAGAACTCAGCAACAGAGACGTCATAAACTAGCTTTTCCATAAACCATGCTTTTCACCTAGGGGGAAATCAGACTTCCAAGAGCTGCTTGGATTTAGGTGAGGAAGAACACTAGCTTGGAAAAAAATGCCTTAAATGATTTGGTTCTTCTCCCTACAGTGTATCTGCTTCCCTACTCACTGTTTTCTACAGTAAGAGTATCAAATAAACAAGTCTGTGGATTCTAAACTGCACATGTTGCTTGCACTCGTGTTTTTAAATTCAAATTACTTGTTAATGCATTGTCAAAATGCATAAAATGAAAAAAAAAACCACCTCATAGAGGCAACCAATAAACGAAGCACCCAGTCATTTAAATCCCAATTATATATTATGACTTTTTTTCATCTATTTCAATGTTTTCAAATATGCAAATAAAGCTTTGTCCCCCTCACTCCCTACCTGGCTTGGGCATTTTTAACTCTGTATCTTGAAGCCATAAAGAATGTTCCTTTTATTAGAAAAAAGCACTTTCATTGTGAAAAGATCTTTTTTTTAAAGTAAAATGCACAAGGTCTCACACAGCAGCATTAATGCTCAGAGGTTAAGGTTAACAACCTTTCTGGCACATGCTAATTCATCATGAATTCCCAATAGCTGAAGTGCAGCTGTAAGGTTTCATGGTGTAATTTCCTTTGCTGTTCTCAGTGACAATTTTAAAAGCTACATTCCATTTAAAATATAGCAGCTTTTCCAGAGGAACTGAATCCCAAAAATCATATATTGAACTCTGTCTAAGATACAAGTTAATACCTTATATGTATATATCATTAAAATAAATCTGTATTTTTGACAACCACAATGTAAGCAATTAAACCTTGGCTAATAATTTTCCCCATCATGAAATCAAGTGAAATCTCACATGTGCTGATTTCATAAATAAAAAATAACGGAACATTACAAACACTTTATTCATGTTTACTGATTATATTTACAGAGAATACTCACTAATCAGAACTCACCATTTTCAATACTGTACATTAAATTATAAGCAATAACCCCTACTACAAAAGTTAGCTAAGTTAATCCAAGATAAAAACTGTCTCTAGAATTTAAATACATTAGAAATAGAAAAAAAAATGAAATTAGAAAATAGTCTTCAAATTCTGAAAATCTAGAAGAATTCTCCAACATCTGCTCTCTTATCTCGACATTTGCTTCGAGCTTTGGTTCGAGCTTTGAAGGCTGCAGAGTTATATAAACGCTGAAATGAAGAAAAAGAAAATACATGTGGATCAGAAAGACTTCAGATATTCTTATGGCAAGGGGAAAAAAGGGTAAAAGGCACAGAGGAAAAAAACGAACTAATCTGGTCCTGTAAGTATTTTAAATGTTTATAAAACACACAAAGAGTGAGGAAGAAAAAATATATAAAGAGTTAAAAGCTATTCTACATTAAGAAAAATATTAGTCAAATATGTAGAATACCAAGAAAATTCCAAGAGAAAAAGGACATCAACATTTAATTTGATCTAAGAAAAGAAATCATAACTAATGTGGGAAAAAAGAAGTCCTACTGTGCTGTCAATTGAAATAACAATAAAAAAGTGATGAGGTGTCATTTTAATACAAATTAACAAATTTTTTAAATTATAAAACCCAATGCTGACAAACCTATGTGTAATAGCTACATGCCTTCATTCACTGATGGAGATAACTGAAAATAATAGGAAGGTAACTTGTCAATACATATCAAAAGCCATAATTTGACCCTATATTCCCATCGTAGGGATTTCTTCAAAGAAGTAATTCCAAAGAGAAAAGTATGTAAAAAGTCAGTATTATTAAAGTTAGAAAATTTCCAAAAATTATTTGACCATAAAAATGATAAAATATATAGGCTGGATAAAAACATAATTAAATACTTCACCCCCACCAGAATGGTGATAATTAAAATAAAACACAGGCCGGAGTGGAGCCCAGGAGTTCAAGATCAGCCTGAGTAACACAGCAAGACCTCATCTCTATAAAAAAATGTAAAAAGAAATTACCTGGGCGTGGTGATATGCACCTGTAGCCCCAGCTACTCAGGAGGCTGAGGCAGAATTGCTTGAGCCCAGGAGGTCAAGGCTGCAGTGAGCTGTGATTGTGCCACTGCACTCCAACCTGGGCAACAGAGTGAGATCCTATCTCAAAAAATAAAAATAAAAACAAACAATAACAAGTGTTAGCGAGGATGTGGAAAAACTGGAACCTTTATACACTGATGGAAATATACAATGGTACAGCAGCTATGGGAAACACTGTGGCGGTTCCTCAGAAAGTTAAACATCAAGCCGGGCTCGGTGGCTCAGCCTGTAATCCCGCGCCTTTGGGAGGCTGAGGTGAGTGGATTGCATGAGTCCGCGGGTTCGAGACCCGCCTGGGCAGCGAGACCTCATCTCTACAATAAATCAAAAAATCAGCCGGGCGTGGTAGCGCATGCCTGTAATTCCGGCTACTCGGAAGGCTGAGGCGGAAGGATCACTGGAGCCCAGCAGGTCGAGGCTGCGGTGGCCAGGAGTGGCCACTGCACTCCAGTCTGGGCGACAGAGTGAGACTCCAACTCAAAAAA